TCTGCACGAAACACCGTCCATGCGCCGTCAAGAGAAATATATTCCCAATATATCCATATAGATATAAGTATGATACTAATACTTATTTGCTCCCAAGGGCGTGGGAACGTATTCTAAAGTTAAGCCGTGGCGGAAGCCCGATGCGGCAGGCGGCTGACTCCATTTCCCTACTGGGGCCTATTTCATGGAATTTACAAGTTCTACAAGTTACAAGTAATTACATGGGTTGTGTCGTAGTCGTACGTAGCAGGACCAGCTGGAGGAGTTAAACAAGACACGACCCTTGCAAGTACTTGTAACTTGTAACTTGTAGAACTTGTAAATTTCATGAAATAGGCCCCTATAGGTTGTTACAGACGTCTTTACTCTCCGGCATCCGCATGTCTATCCTGCCGCCCTCATTTGTCAGTACCGAAGGGATTCGACAACCCGCGATTTGAGCCAAAGTTACTGTACGTCGTCTCTCCCGGAGCTCACTCGCTACGCGAGAGCGATGACGTGGCTCACTTTCTCGCTTCGGGGATTCATCCCGTCGCACACCGAGGAGAGGGTACGGTTGGGGGAGCTCTCTCGCGGCATCACGAGCCTACCGCATCCGTGCCACGCGGCAGTCGCATCATACGAGACGGTACGGCACGATCCGAGAGACTGCCATTCGAGAGAGAAGCCAAGGATACGGCCGCGAAAGGTCGAAAGAAAAAGACAAACAGACCCGTGATAGTACCCATCGGTGAAACGCCCCTTGATAGGCTTGCGCCAGGATGGAATCGGCCGAAGGAGAGAAGCGGGCGGTGAGAAATCCGAGGGAATGGCCACCGACGTCTCCGACGCGAACTTTTTCCATCCAAAGCCCTCCCATCTCCTCGTTCGTCTCCCAGACGATCAGCGTCTTATCCATGGATCCACTCAGGAGTCGAGGGCCTGCACGCCAGCATACCACTTTCCATCTCAACGTTCGAGAGGAGGTCACTACAAGACTCAGATTGCTGAGTCTTGTAATGACCTATCAGTGAAGGGGTGGTTCATTCTATCATTTTACCTTTTTATGTCACATTCTCAAAATCGACTACGACAATTCATTCCTCAATCCGATTTTTCGCTCGCGGATTGCTTTCACGTCAACATTATAGATATAATGTTCTTTAATTGCAATTCTATGCTTAATAGAATAGTCTCTTTTGACACAAACTTTACAAAATTGAACTCGGCCCGTATCTTAACATACAAGAAACTTCGCACAAGGGGTTTAGATGACCACACAGTTATCTACGCACGCGTGGCTTATAGCATTCGAAAGAGCGTTAAATCATGAATAAGAGGCACGATTTTTCAGCTATAACTTAATGAAAAAGGCAGGGGACAGAGATCATCTTCAGAGGGAGCTCAAAGACATACTCGATAACAGGACCGATACATCGAAGCCACGTTGAAGCCAAAAGAAACCGAAGCTTTCAGTTTTCATTTTTCATCTTTTTTTCTGTCCTTTCATAAAAAAAATGCATTTAACTGCACAGAAATGCATTAAATCAGTTTCAAAGTCCAATGTCCCCTGGGAAACATTGAGGAGAAAGAAATGCTGGATTTTTCCAAGCATTCTTGTCCAAATGAGTGACTTCAGAATCACCATCTTAGTAGTGAGGGGTAATAAATTTGGGATTTGGAGATCTAAACTATACAATTGCAGTCAAGTCCCTTTCATCCAGCATGAAATGGGGGGAAATACTACAATTTTCCCGAGATTTCTATTTTTTTCACAACAGTATGCCTGCATACGAATTTTCAAAGCAATTAGGGTCACACTTTTGTGGTTATCATTTAACAACTGTGGGAATACAAAGACAGACACACGGATGAAAGGGACTCTTTCCTTTCGGGGAAGCAGATTGACAGAAAAAGAAAGGATAACGCTCTTACATTGAGACGGCAGAGGATGTGCCCAGTGGAGGCCATAGACCCAGTTCTCATGACCAGCCAACACAGATTCCAACTCCACCTCCCATCTACATATTTCATCCATGTTAATGGCAAATGTATCTTTCTTTGAGGTGAGGATTTCCCCTCGATCGCCTCTATTCTCCTCCACGACTCGTATCCTCCACAGCCGCACATATGTATCCTGGGATCCGGTTGCCACCAACATCTCCTTCCCTCCTGATTGCATGAAGGAAGGACAATAAAAATGGCTAAGTCAACAGCCACAGACACAAGGGCATAGGAACTGGGGAGGGGGGGCAGGGATGGCAAATGCCCCCTCACTTTTCCAGATGGGGGGGGGGGGCAAAAGGTATCTTTTGCCCCCCCCCACTTTTTAAACCTAAGAGCAATGTGTACTTTGGCAAGTTGCGACTTAAGATCCTTCGTGGCATTCAGTGGGGTTTCGAAAGTAAATTTAGCTTGAAGCCAGGTTAATGCCTGAGGGGGATTGGCGTGGTAGGGCACACTTGATAGGCGCCCAGTGGGAGTTCCCCCTCACTTTCGAGGACGTTCCTACGCCTATGCACTTTTAATCCCTACAGCCTGAGGGCGGGTTCAGTGGCGCTCAGGCTAGGGACGGGGGCAGATCATCCCGAGACGCAAATCACTCAAAATGCGAATTCTCATTAAACGCTGGACTTCGTCCGAAGTCCGTCGTTGTGACCCTTGACAGGTTATAAAAATGGTATCCCATTAAGGGCAATGCCGCCTGGTCCTTTCTGGGACTGGTACTTCCATTCAGTCCTCTCGCAGTGACGCAGCAGCAACGCTTTCTTTTCTCCAAAACAACGTGAGCACGGAGCTCCACTTCGTACTTTCTGGATGCACTGCCCGCTGGAGATATTGACGCTGATTGGTTTTGAAAAATCAATGATTTGTGGCTCTTGCACTGTTGCTAAGTTGTTGAAGAGGTTTTCACGTTCTTGCACGGAGCACAAACCAGTCGGTCAGCGAAATTGGACACCTTCAAGTAAATACTAAATGACGTTATGTTCACGGTGGTAACTTGTCCCCATTTCCCTCAGGATTTTAAGTTTCAGCCCGCGTTCCATGGCCGCTAAGAGCTTCCGCGTCGGAGCCTGTAAAAGTGACTTGGCGGCTCTCGAGGTTCCATTCGCTCGAGCGAAGGTCAACGAGAGAGAGGGGACCTCATCCAGGCTCTATCATTAAGGGGATCGATAACGTGGAGCGCGATGGGTTTTTCTTGCTGGATGGTAACAACCAAACGAGGGGGAATCAGTTCAAGTAACGAAAGTCTCAAGTGAGGCTCAGGTCAAGGAATAGCTTTTTCACTTGGAGGGTGGTTAATGCGTGGAATGCGTTAGACGATCATGCAGTGGTCGGCTACAGGCGGTTCGCGAGGGCCCGATCGATCCGCACATTAGGATATGACTGTAGATGCTCGACAGCACGTTTAACATTAAATGTTCATTAAAATCGTCATTTTAATGAGTTATGATGGGACATTGATCGGTGAACGTGCGGTGTCATGACATCCTGACATCCGTTAAATTCAGTTGCCGACCATTGATGGCTGCCCCGCGCTGTGACTAGCTTCAAGGCAAGATGCCTTAATGGAAAAAGAAAAAAAAAGGAAGCAAAGTAGCTTTAAATAACTAGACAGCGGACTGAGCGAAGTGCTTCCATAAAAATATGTATAGATGGATAGGCGTATAATTTTTTTTAATGAATGCACGATCCCAACCTGGGATGTTATAATGGGCTGAGATGCCCCCTGACATTCCTGCTAGAATCTCGTGACCTTCTTGACCTTCAACCTCTTGCCATCGATGGAAAGCCTCGCTTTTCGAGTCCCGGAGTAAGAAAGGCCGTTGCAATTAGCCTCTACGCGGATGGATTCGAAGTTTTTCAGACCCCAGGGAGCAAGAATGAGAATATCGTCTGTCCGTGGATCACAATTAGGAGACTCCTTCATATCATACGAAGGTTTTTTTTTGTGCTGCAAGGCTGGCGAAGAATTCTGAGGAATCCTGCAGGAATCTCATTTTCTTCTTCAATTTAGAGTACATTTAGATGCAAATATCGCGAATGCTCGAATGGGAAGTCGTGCCGTTTGGCATGGGTCTTGCCCGGAAGATGGTCTAAATTCTGTGGTTAGCGTTCGTACGAAGTCAATGTGATAAAAAAAGACAACCTGAAAATCATATTTATAATTTGGACATTAACGCCATAACTCCACATTGGGGGTAATTTATAATATATCTATGATATCTGAGGAGGAGAATCTCTGTATTTCATCGAGACTAACCCCCCCCCCCCAAAAGGAAAGACAATCTCACCACAGAGGGAAAAAATACTTCTAGATTTCGTCGACATTAGTGAATTTGATTGCCAATTTAAACGAGAGCAGAAAATGAAATAATCATTGCTCGCTATATGGAAAGTTCACTTGGCCCGGCTAGCCCGAATAGCGAGGTGAGTGAGAGTTCTTAATATATTAACAATTTTCAGGCACAATATTACTCTTTTAAATATATTTTTAAAGCTGGTATCACGTCTGCCTCAAATGACGCATCTTTGAATGTCAACCAGCAATCCTTTGACTTGCTTAGGATACATTGACCGGACGCAGTGATATTCTTCAAATGGAGAAACCTCTCTACATCGGGGCTTTGCAGTTTCAATGGTCGATCATTCATATGGGAGTTCGTTTTTGTCCTCATAGGATTCTGACGTATTTTTCTTTCTTGCAACCTTTTTTCTCTTTCGCGAGAAGGGATTTCTCCGGATCAAATTGAGTTCTCTGAACTTGCCAACAATAAATTTGTCCTCGCAAAGCAAAAGTTGTACTTTTCCTTAAAAGTACTTTTCCTTTAAAAATAAAAATAAAACCTCTCGTAGCTCATGGAGCACACGAAGACAATTATTTCTGAGCAGCCTGAAGAAGAAGATTTGAGTTCTTTCGTTTGCGGTGGAAGAGCCTGCCGAAACCCATCCGGAAGTCCCGTCGGAATATGCAGTAGATGAAGGGATTCGTGGCGGAGGAGACGAACTGGACCAATGTGGCAGCGACGTTCGCCCACTGACGCACCACCTTCGGGTCCATCGTCTGAATCTTCTGCAGCTTCGTGACGCAGAACGGAGTCATGCACACGGTGAAGGTCACCACGAGGGTAATGACAGTGTAAACCACTTGGAGGTGGGTGCTTCGGATCGCTTTGGCATCGCCCACAGATCTCCTGAGAGACACCTCTTCCTCGTTCCCTGTCAAATACCGGGAAGGAAATGAAAGACGAATATTATTCCTCTTATCTCATGAAAACGACTTTCGCGCGCTTGCCCCCAGACTTGAATCTTTTCTGGATTCACTTCCATTCTGGTCTCTTTTAGAGAGTTCAATATGGGGGGGTCTTCTCAGCTCAACTCACTGCTTAGATTGGGTTGCGCTGGGTTTTTGGCCTGTGACCCAAGGTCGAACGAGGTCCTTCGTCCACTTCTTAATATTGCAGATCCTGCTTTGTTTTATTAAATTACCTTAGTATGCATTGTTTCGTCTTCATAGCATTCATTCCTATTAAAGAGAACTTTCTGCTTGACGAAGCTTCATGTTGGCATGGTAACAATGATTTTGCAAATATATTGCTCAGTTATTATGGATTCGACCATCTCACTTGCAATCGATTTTCGTTTTTTTCTTTTCATCCTTGAAAGCTTCGCCAGCCCTTCATCAGTTGGGTCATGCCCTGTGTCATGCGGTTTCCCTTCAGCTGAGTCTTCTCAATTATCGGCTTTTCTCTGTTAGTAATTCGGCAGGGAGATAGCGATTTAAATTGAATTTATTCATATATAGCCATAAAACCCATTGTGGATGACCTAGGTTCGTGACGTTTTCGTAGCACATTAAAAATATCGCAAAATTTGTATTCTGAAAGTTTCATGTACCTAGGTGAATAGATACTACGCAGAATACAACGATGAGAACTGGCACAAAAGCAGCATTTATGGTGTCAATGGAGAGAAATCATTCGAGCAGTCCAGGAAACTCCATCCACCTCATGCGCGGAAAGGGTACATTTTATGACTCCACTTGGAACGACTGACAGTTTTTATTCAGACAACCTCGATATATGAAACTTTCGGAAAGCAAATTTTGTGATGCTTTCAATGTGATGCGGAAACGTCATGAATATACAGGGTGGCGCACTTAAAAGTAGTCCGTATCACTCACCTATAGGAGATGCTGGAAGTGCTCTCCCCCCAAATCCCGACCTTGCTGAGCACGGGTACGAGCTACTTTTAAGTGCACCACCCTGTACATCATCTACAGCTGTTGTTAAAAATGCATCGAACAGGACGCGTTATTTTTGGGCCAGCCGGTATAGTCAGCCCTTGATATAACGCCACTTTTGGTCATAGCCGATTTTGACGATACAATGCAAATGGCGCTATGTCGAAGTATGTATAACCTGTATTACATAGTCCTATGGGATTCCGCAAGAAAGGGTTGGCGATAAGCTTGGGTGGCGTCATATCGAGTGGCGGTATGACAGTTGACTGTTTGCAGAAAAAGGACTTTCCAATAAATCGGCGGAACTTGAATTCGTTTTTGTTTTTGTTTTGTTTTTTTTTGGTTTTTTGTTATCCTTTTTTTTTACGCTAGTCCTAGCACGTGCATGCTTCAATTACAGATGAGAATGCCTCGATCGCCAATAATGACCTAAAAAATTGGAGTGGACGTTTGCTTTCAAACAGAATTTCCGGTGGATTTCCGGAATATGAGTGAATGTTGTAATCTTCTTCGATTTTTCACATATTGCAACAGCTTGGGCTGAAAGATAGTAAAATGTGTTTGATATTACATACCGAGGCATTTCACTTAGACTTAATCGTGTGACTCGTTGTTGCGGTTTAATGGGCGCCTCCAATGGCTTCATTCTGAAACTGGAGGCATCCTTAGTAAAAATATGTATTTAAAAAATTTAGGACATTTTCAATTGGAATCACAGTGTCCGCTAATGTTATACTACGTCCCTTACACTTACAAGCAGTTGATTTCGGGTCTTCAAAACGAAACCCTCATCTTTAGCTCCTAACGTCATGCGAATTTTTTTTCGAAAAAGGGTTCGATACGGTGGGTGGCTCACCACCGTCTGAGGGGCTAAGTACTCTCCCACCTTTATTTCGGCCTGTCTGGACTTGCCGGACCGATTTTACTTGCAGAAATCCGATTGAT